AAGATTTCTTAATCATAGCTGCCCAGATGTGCCCAGGAGAGGCGGAGTGCTACAAACTGAACTTGAACCCTTGACCTGCTAGCTACCTAGGACCCTTGTGACAATGTTAAACTTGGACTGGGCTTAAAGTCTTAAGCCATCCCCTTGCCCTTTCAGATTCCTCTTGCCCTGGATGGCTGACCTGAGCTATTTTGTCAAGGTGATCCTTTGCTTTCTAGATTCTAGTGGGATTCAGCCTAACAGGAGCCCCAGGAGGAGATGGGGGCAGGAGGAGAGTGATGTGGGAGGGGGAATTTATTCTCCTAGCTACCTCCCGGGGGCTGCTGTGGGTTTCTGCATCCCACTACTGAATGTGCCAGCTCCTGCCACAGCCCTCTTTGTCCCTGGATTCTGGTGATGATCCCTCTTCTCCCCCTTCAGGCTAGGGGTGGAATGCAGCCCCCTGTGATGACCCATGGACCATGTGCCATCCTTTATGGCTTCCCAACACCCTGCCTACACCTTGGGAAATGGTCTTATCAAGCTTCCTTGGATGATCCCATATGAGTGTCCACTTGCTTCCTGCCAGGAACCTGGGCCAGCAAGGCCAGTGCGTGCTTAATGTGAATCCAGTGCCTGTGGTGGCTGAGAATTACCTGGATGAACTTGCCTTGGTTGGACTGAACCAGCAGAGATGTCTTCCCCATGCTACTGTTGCCCACCAGGATGGTCTGAAATTGAAGCAGAGAGAGAGATCAGGGCGGGAGCTGGATGTAGGTTTTTAAGACATCATGTGGTTGTGGGACAGAGTTCTTTCTAAATACACACAGACACACATTCTAAACTCTTGATTTTCTGTCACATTCACTGAATAAAGCCTGAAGGCACAGAGGTAATCTCGTCCCAACATAAGTTAACAAACACCTGTGGTAAGCATGAGAATGTGGCTCCCAGACTTCCAACCAAACAAAAACAAACCAGATCCCATTGAGTTGATTCTGACTCATGGCGACCTCATGTGTGTAAGAGTAGAACTGCACCCTATAGGGTTTTTTTCAATGGCTGTTATCTTTCAGAAGTAGATTCAAACCACCAACAGTTCTGTTAATAGTTGGTGCTGTAAGGCAGGCCTGTTCCCGGGAGACATGAGACTTCTCTGATAGCAGATGTTGACTACAGGACTCCCTGATGGCCTTCTGGAACCTTCCATAGACTGCACAGCAGTTTAGGATGCTCCCATTCAACCTTCCTCGCCTCTTTACTTTGCTTGGGTTCAGACCTGCTCCATGGTCTGATGGCTCTCCTAGCCTCTCTGGGCTCCTACCCCACTTTCTTTCATGGGTGTTTCCCCTAATAAAACCCTTGCACATTTAATCCCCTGTTGGCATCTGCCTCTTGGAAGACCCAGGCTAAAGCAGTGTGCATGAGTCTCCTGTATGAGAAAGTCAAAAGAAAAAAAAAAGTCTATAAAACAAAACAGAAGCAAGATATCTGTGCCTTGGGAATAATTCACACTTGGGCCTGGAACGAGGGGTTAGAACGGACCATATTTCTAACAGAAACAGAGCTTGGAACAGCAGTGAAAGGCCACTTTGCTCTGAAGGGAGTCTGTAGTGGGAGGACGTGAGAGGAAAAATTAGTCTGGGATCCCAGGTGAAACATTTCAAAGAAAATTATGAAGAAAAGAGAGGAAATATACGTGCAACCAGAGGCTGGCACACAATGAATGAATGAGTGGGTAAATGCCTAAATTCTACAGTGGCCAATAGCCGCTTCCCAAAAGCAAGCATTAAGGGTACTTGGAAAGGCTCAGGAGATGCATCATGTAGCTGGACTTGCCAAATTATAAAGAGATTAAAAAAAAAAGAAAACATAAAAACATAATGATTGACAGAACATCCTTGGGTCAGGCCCATGAGCCTCAGCTCCTCGAACGTTCCAGATGGGTCTGTCTAAATCCATGACCTTAGATACACAATGAGGAGCCCTGATGACACAACCGTTAAGGGCTTAGCCGTTAACCAAATGGTTTGTTTTTCAAACCCAACCACCAACCGCTCCACAGGAGAAAGACCTGGTGATCTGCTCCTGTAAAGACTACAGCCTTGAAAACCCTATAGGGCAGTTCTACTCTGTCACATGGCATTGCTATGAATTGAAAATTGACTTGACGGCACCCAACAACAACAGATACACAGTGGAATTTCTCTCTTCACTCAACAGCTGCTGGGATTTTCCTGATGTTTCTCCACATTGGCTCCAAATTTCACTGCTTGGAGAAGTAAAGTGTCAACTTCAGGTGCCTGTTGCAGAGCATGTACGTGGCACAGTGGTTAAGAGATGGGCTGCTAACCAAAAGGTCAGCAGTTCGAATCCACCAGCCACTCCTTGAAAACCCTACAGGGCAGTTCTTCTCTGTTCTATAAGGTCACTATGAGTCGAAATTGACTCGACAGCAATGGTAATCATGATTCTAATAAAAACCTCTGTGTCAGCCTTGCCACTGTTCACACGAGTGTCTCTTTTCTCTTCTAAGTCATGTCTGTATTGATCTCATCCACTTTCAAAAGGGATTCAAGGTGGCTTAAGACAAAACCCATATATACAACAAGGCAGTGCAAGATAATATCTGAGAAAATATACACTGGAATGGTGTGTGTGTCTGCAAATCTTCCACCCTGGAGTGAGGTTGGGTTGTTACTGCATTTGAGCATTGCATTTGGTTCTAGACTTCCTGGCAGTCAAGACAAAATGGGAAACAAGATGATGCATGTGGTACTTATTATCTGACAAAGAAAACCTGGGCACTTTCAGTCAAAAAAAAGTTTTTCCCTGCATGTGATTCTAAGAGAAATTTGTTATATGGATTTTTTTTATTATTATTTTTATGGTAAATATATATGTAACAAAACGTTTGCCATTTCACTATTTTTTCTATCCATAAAATTCAGTGACATGAATTACTTTCATCTTGTTCTTCAACCATCACCATTATTTTTTTCCAAAATTTCCCATCACCCTTAACAGAAACTCAGTGTCCCCTAAACAATGAGTCCCCTTTTCCCCTTCCCTCTCTCCCTTCTGCCCCTAGTAACCACTAAGAAACTTAGCTCTCTATACACTTGCCTATTCTAGACATTTCATATTGTTATGTGGGTTCTTATACAAGGGATCCTGAATAAAAAATGGGCAATTATGATTTTGCAGAAGAGGCAAAGCTTTTCCAATAGCTGTGGTATTGACCTTGATAAAAGCAAGACCTAATGGCTTAACACTAAATCATACTTCAGTGGAGGCCTCTTGGTGGGAGCTGGGCTAACGTTAAGTATGCTTCTGTCCTACAACTCCAGGATTCAGGGACAGCATTTAGAAAACCTTAATGAATGGGGTGGTTACAACACTCCTAAAGTAGCTCTGAATGACCTTCCTAACAGCACAGGAAATTCAGACACCATAAAGAAAAAGATCAGTAGATCTGACTGAATACAAATATGAATGTCCTGGCTGACAGAAGATACAAGCAAGAACGTCAAAAGAAGATATCAGAAAGAACGTCGAAAGAGAAACGATAGAGGGAAAATATTTGTATCTTGTATGTCACCACTCAGAGCCACTCGGGTTAAGTCTCCATTCTTAATTCAGATAGGATCTTCCCAGACTAGTCTGGGCCCAGGATCTGAGGATTGGGCCACAGGCCAGGCTTCTAGAAGCTCAGAGTCTGTTCCCTCCTTCTGTCTACCCTCAAGAAGGAATGGTTATCCCATGGCCATCAGAGCAACCGCCCCTTGTCTTCCAGGGCTGCTCATCCTCTTGATTACTCTATCATTTTCTCTGGGAATCAAGGCTTCCCTGTTTGCAGAGGATGATGCAGTGCCCTGAGGGGAAGGTATGCTGAAAGAACGGTGGAGTCCAGAGGTGGGCCGAGCCCACCCCCCCCCATCACTGATTTCATCTTATGGCTGGACATACGTGAAGTGAGAGGCCGTGTTGGCCACATCCTGGAACACCCTCACCTTACAGCTGCTGTTTTTCTGTGCAAATAACCCTCTTGCACACCAGCTTGCCCTGATGAGGGTGTGAGGGAAGTCATGTCCCTCCATGGGGCTCACTGACTCCTCAAGATGTCCTACAGCATATGTGACACATAGCAAAAGTGGTTCCAGGTGCACAAAGTGAAAAAGGCCCAATTCCTTTCATGACATCTGAACCAGGTCATGATGGCTCCCTGGGATCTTGATGGGATAGGGGAGGTAGGAAGATGGGCAAGATTGTCAGAAAGAAGGGAATAAGACAGGCAAAGCTGCTTTCTTTCTTTTCTTCTTTCTTCCTTACCTCAACAAATATTTTATTACAGAGATGGGTGGGCTGTGGGAGGAAGGGCGATAGTTGTACGAGTGAGCTAGTTTCTTCAGGGCAGGACCCCTAGTGCAGTCAACAAGTTTCTGGAGGATTCAGGTTGGTGTGGATATCTATGGGATCTCACCTGGTGGGCCGGGCACAGCAATGAGACTTTCTGGTATGTTCTCTGGATACCCACCCCTCTTGTCCATTGGACCAGTAGTTCCCTGCTCTCATCTCCCTACCGTTGGAGCCCCTTTCTTTGTAGTCTAGGTTTTGATACCCTCTTAGGCCTCTCATCCCCTCCATTCCAATCTCTGGTCTAGAATCTGTCCTTTGGCATTCTGCCTTTGGCCGCAAGCCTTCCACAATCCTGTTGAACTCCTGACCACCTGGGCCCCTTCGAATCTGGCTACACTCAAAGTTCCATGTCTTTGGGTCCCCAAGATCCCATCAGGTGGAGCAGGTCCCCCTGTCCCAGCCTCCTGCCACAGGGGAGGAAGATTGCACTGAACTATCCAGAAACAAAGGGGCTATGTCTGCAAAACCCCACAAGGCAAGGAAGGGGCTGTGAAGTTTGTTTTAAAGAGAGCCCGTTGCAATCCTCAACAGGAAGGTATTTCTCAAAAGCTCATGATCCTCATGAGTTCTTGCATTGTTAATTACCCTGAAACCACCAATTCTACATCCTTCCTCTTTTAGACTTATTCACTAGTGGGAAGTGGCTGCCAGAAGTAGCGTAAGGCTGAAAATGAGAGAAAGAAGAAGGGCTGGAGGACGAAAGGATGTCTTTGCTGTCAGGCTCTACCATAGGGGACCATTGTGAAGAGAAGATGCACCTGCTGCTGCTCATCTCCCTCCTCTTCTGGCGTCCAGGTGAGCATGCGACCTAGGTCTACATCTAGGAAAGGAGCTTATCCAGCAAGAGGGAGTGGCTGGCAGAGTGGGGAGGGAGCCCAGCAGGAAGGTATTTTGCCAAGAAGCTTCCAAATAACATTACGAGCGTTGTGTGCTATCCACTCACTCACTCATTCAGAGCTTACAATCACCGAAGCAGAAATATTGAGCATGGTCTTCCTAGTGAACTCAGCACCAGGCATGCTTCCTGACCACCCAGGGGTTGACATTACAAAATGGACAGACTGACTGGCCCCTTGGTGAGGGAAATAAGTAGGACTGAAAAGTTGGCGATTGGAAACCACCCAGCGGCTCCAAGGGAGAAAGATCTGGCTATCTGTTTCCATAAAGATTACACCCTAGAAAACCCTATGGGACAGTCCTACTTCGTCACATGGGACAGCTATGAGTTGGAACTGACTCGACGGCACCTAACAACAGAAGATCAGTATAACACAAAGATGGTTGCAAAAGGGCATCCCTTGAAATATAAAGATTAAAATTATCTCTCAGTATCCGTGGGGGATTGGTTCCAGGACCCCCATGAATACCAAAATCTGAGGATGCTCAAGTCCCTTATATCAAATGGCATGGTATTTGCATATAGCCTACACACATCTTCTCGTGTACTTTAAATCATTTCTAGATTACTTATAATATCTAATGTAATGTAAATGCTAGGTAAATAGTTGTTTCATCACAGTTGAAGACTTGCTCTGGAGGTAGCCTTTCTCTTCTACGAGTTTCTTGAGCTCTTCTGAGAAAGCTGATGTTGCCTCGACATTAGCCAGTGCAGATTCTCCCGTGATCTTTAAGTTCTTGAGGCTGTAATGCTTTACGTAGCTAGCCAGCAATCCCTTACTAGCCTTAAACCCCTTCCTGTCACTCTCTTCAACCCACTCACAGTAGTGCTCATAGAGGCTAAGTGCTTTTTCACACATAATTTTGCCATCAACGGGGATATGCTTCTGTGACTTGCCCTCTAGCTACATCCTTAATGCTTTCTCTGTCCTTGCATGCACTTTATCTCCAACCCGGTTTTTTAAGAGTCATTTTTCCCACAGAAACAAAAGGTACACATAGCATAAGTAATGGACGAACAATTCAGAGGTGAACAACACTCAAACAATGAATGCTAGAGAGAGACTGAGGATCTGTGAGATGATAGGAAGCTACAGCAGGATATGCCTACATTTGTGTGGATTCAGCATAGTGCTCGGCACGTGGCAAATTGAAATTTTTCTTTTCAGAACTTTTTTTTAAATTTTCAATCCAGAGTTAGTTGAATCCGCAGATGCAGAACTTGAAGATGCAGAGGGCCTACTGTAAATATTGGCCATAGGGCAGGGATAGCGGTGAATTATAGAAAGCTATTATTGCTCAGTGTCAATATTTTAATTTCTTTTGAAATCTGTAGTTATGCTCTTCAGTGACTTAAATGGTGTCTTTGACCAGTGGAATTCTGAAAAACAAAAGATCTGTCTCATGGAAGGTATATTCCTTCCTTGACTGTTAATTCATCAGGCACTTGGATTTGGAGTTAGTCCCACAGCAGGAGGTAGTGGCCCTCCCTTCAGGGTGGAAGGTGACATGGATTTGTGTTTTCCAGGCTGCTCCGTCGTGTGGGGTCCAAATGTGACAAGTGGCCCAGAAGGAAGCTCATTGACTGTGCAGTGTCATTATGACCTAGGGTGGGAGCCCCACTACAAGTGGTGGTGTCGAGGAGCTGTCTGGGCTACCTGCAAAATCCTTGTTAAAACCACCGGATCAGAGCAGGAGGTGAAAGAAGGCCGTGTGTCCATCAGGGACAATCATAAAAAACGCATATTCACTGTGACCATGGAGAGGCTCACAGAAGACGATGCAGACTTTTACTGGTGTGGGATTGAGCGATTTGGAACTAACCATACAGTCAAGGTTAAAGTGTCAATTGACCCAGGTAAGTGTTTGTGTATGTGTATGTGTGTGTGTGTGTGTGTGTATGGATGTGTCTTTCAGTTCCTGCTCTGTCCTTGTCCCTGAAAGCGCTCTTGAGTGACTCAACTGTGGGCAAGGCAGAGGGTGGTTGAGCCCTGGGGTGTCAGTGAACCCCACTGTCCACTTGGTGTTGGGAGCGGCTTCTCTTACAAGGTCTCTCATGGCTCCCAGGACTCCTCCAGGATGGAATGAAGCCTTTCTGGGCACATTCTCTTCTCTGCACGGCTCAGTCTCTTGACCAGAGAGAACAAGGTGATGGTCCCCAGTTCCAGTCCATGAGCCAAAGGGACCCCGTTCCATGGGACTCAGAGACCTCAATCCCTGCCAAAGCTTTCCTGGGACCTCTGGCGCCCAGGTGTGGCTCTTCTTTGTGGAGTTATCAGCTGAAACTGTATTGTCTCTTATCCCCCATCCCATATCCAACCTTGGGGGAGACAGAGGCCCAACATAGTAGGGTTGCTGTGGTCTAATTTTGAGTTTTGGAAAGGCCCCCACAGTCAAACAGCTGCCCTCCTGTTGCCTGAAATCCCACTGTCAGTCATTTACGCATTGGGACCTAATAATGTTCCCTTTCTAAGTCCTTCTAGAAGGCAAACACTCCTGGGAAGGTCAGCTTAGAGGTCCCAGTGCATTGGCTGGAGTTTATCTCTTGGACTCTGCTTCTGCTGACCCTCAGGTGGGCAGCACGGGCTCTCAGGACACTTGGGGCACCACAATCAACAGAGCTCTAACCATAACTTGCCCTATGAGGCATGCTACAGTTTGCAAAGTGCATCATGCACACCATCTCACTTGATCCTCATAGCATTCTGGAGAAGTGGATAGCCACATGTTAGAAGCTTAGTAACTTGCCCAAAGTAAAGACTCTTCTTAACATTATGATTTTATTCTGGACTAGTTCTGACCTTAAAAGTCGCAGATGTAGGGTATATGTTAACAGCATTGCGAAAGCTCCCATTCCACCCTGTCCTTGCTGGATAAATAAGATTGAGATGAGGCACTGTCATAAGCAGTGGAAATGTTTAAAATCCAAGTGAACTCCAGCCACCCTTATCCTGAGGCTCTTCCTGGGCTCCCTCCAGCCCTCCCAGAGCCTGATCAAGGTCCTCTCTGCACCTGTGTCCAGCCCCACCCGTTTCCGAGACTCTTGAGGCTCCTAGAGGCTGGGGAGATATGAAAGATTCAGGTTAGTGTCCCCACTTCACAGCCCTGCTCCAGGCTCCTCAGGCAAGGGCACCCCCTCATCCTCCCCAGACTAAGAGCCATGTACAGGGCTGGGTTGGGCAGTAGGCAGAATGGTACGTTGTGGTGTGATGGACTGTTTTTATATGGCCTTTCTTACCATCGCCTTGTAACTTCCACCAAATGATAGGGTGGGACTATGCAAATAAGGTGCACCATATCGAAGCAAAAAAAAATTTGCCGTCCAGTCAATTCTGACTCATAGCAACCCTATAATCTGAGAATCTGGACTATATGAAGAAGAACGAGGCATCAAGATTGGAGGAAGACTCATTAAACCTGCATTATGCAGATGACACAACCTTGCTTGCTGAAAATGAAGTGGACTTGAAGCACTTACTGATGAAGTTTAAAGACTACAGCCTTCAGAATGGATTACACCTCAGCATAGAGAAAACAAAAAACCTCACAACTGGTCCAAAAGGCAGCATCATGATAAATGGAGAAAAGATGGAAGTTGTCAAGGATTTCATTTTACTTGGATCCACAATCAACACCCATGGAAGCAGCAGTCAAGAAATCAAACAATGCATTACACTGGGCAAATCTGCTACAAAAGACCTCTCTCAAGTGTTAAAAAGCTAAGATGTCACTTTAAGGACTAAGGTGCACCTGACTCAGACCATGGTGTTTTCAATTGCCTCATATGCATGTGAAAGCTGGACAAAGAATAAGGAAGACCAAAGAAGAATTGACATCTTTGAATTATGGGGTTGGCCAAGAATATTGAATATACCATGGACTGCCATTAGAACAAACAAATCTGTCTTGGAAGAAGCATAGCCAGAGTGCTCCTTAGAAGTCAGGATGGCAAGACTTCATCTCAGATTCTTTGGACATGTTATCAGGAGGCACCAGTCCCTGGAGAAGGACATCATGCTTGGTAAAGTAGAATGTCAGTGAAAAATAGGAAGACCCTCAGTGAGATGGATTGACACAGTGGTTGCACTAATGGGCTCAAACATAGTAATGGTTGTGAGGATGGCGCACGACCAGGCAGTGTTTCCTCTGTTCTACATAGGTTCACTATGAGTCAGAACCAACTCAACAGCACCTAACAACAACAACAAATCATTAAGCCTTTCTTCCTAGTCAGTCTTAGTCTGGAAGCTCTGCTGAAAGCTGTCCACCATGGCTGACCCTGCTGGTATTCGAAATACCTGTGGCATAGCTTCCAGTATTGTAGCAACATGAGGCCACCACGCTATGATAAACTGACAGATGGGTGATGGTGTCAAAGCATAGAGAGTGAGGAAGCAGGTAGTAGAAACCCAGAAGATATCAAACTGGTTCAGTCAGTTTGCTGCCACCTTTAGAGTATATTTAAAATTTTGCTGAACACAACGTGTGGTAAAAGTAGCTTTAAGAAGGACGGGTTTCATGCTAGAATGATACTGAGACCCTCAAAGATTTCTTACCTCTCCTATTTTTTAAATATTTCTTTGATTTCTTCTTTAAAAGATATTTAGCATTTACCTAAGCAATGTGCTTTAATCTGAGTTTAACTCATTATGTTTTTCTTTGGCTTTCAAGGCAACACACAATTAGGTGACATTTTCATTTATAAATCCTACAGTTGTAACAGAATTGTGTGTCTTGGGGAAATGCAGCCATAAATCTCACTAAGTATGTATGTATTCCTCTATTTTTATGGTGGGCCTCATATATTTAGTGTAGAGGCCATGTGAAAATGCCAGTTCTACGTTTCTCCTCTCTCCATATTCTCATCTTTTGAAGTTACTTAGCTTCCATGCAAAATCATTATTTTTTCTATTTTTTGTTTCTTTGCTTATTTAATACAAACTCTTGAAATAAATTGTAAATGGCAAAATAAACACAATACACTTCATGATAGATTCTGAGTGTTGGCACCATGATTAGAAGACCCATGAATGTCTGTTTTCTTTCAATTCCAATGACAAGGCCTTGTGTCTGTCTCATCTCACAGACCTGGAATTTGAGCCCATCAATTTGGAAGTCAAAAATCTAAACGGGAAGCCAAGTGCTGTCATTGTGAACTGCCAGCCTCCCCTGGAAGCCAATGGAAATATTACCGGTAAGCATCTCAGGTGGATTTCCCGACATTGCTCTGCCTTGGTGACTATTTACCTCTTGCTCTGGGTAGGCCTTTTCTGTATCCCTTTCTGTCACAGCATCTCCATTGAATCTCTGACCCTCTCTGATTTTCTCCCTTTGCCTCCCACTGACCTTGGAATTCTTCTAATTGTGCATACAAATCTGTACACAGGCACAACACATTTCAGTTGCCTCATGAAAGATATGTGTTTAAATTAGTATAGATGTGTGTTTTTCATTCTATGGAACGTTAGGACAACCTTCTAATGGAGTGTCTCTGAGCATAGAACACAAAAGAGAAGCTTATTATATGGCAATTATGAAATACAAAAGACACCTAACGATCACACATTTTTGTAAGGCACATATGAAAGAGATTTGTCTGAGAATTTTCAGTTTCTCACTTAGCTTTTAGCTTCTCACTGAAATCATAAGGTTCAGAAAACACTTAATATTGACTGACAAAAAATGAACTTAATGAATATTTCACAGTGAGAGATTTTATTTTGCTAAATACTGCTGATAAAATCCATATCTAATAAAAGCATCCATTAGAAGTCTGTAATGTTAATTTAGTATTAAAAATGTAATGGAACTCTCTCAGGGATTTTGCATTTAAATGATCACTTTAGGCTTTTAACAGATGTCTCCATAACATATACTTTTTATCAAAAATATTGTATAACTCAGAATGTGTACACTGTAGTCTAATTAACTTGAACCATTGGGATAGGCACATGTAAGAATCACTCTTTATTCTTCTTTTATACTTGGCATTTATAGTTCACAGAAATGTAACATCTGGAGAAGGCAGGGTTTAACATGGTTCTTAATGAGTTTTATCATATTTGGGGTAAACTAAACCACACATTTTCAAATTAAAGTAGAAAACAAAAACAAAAATCTATGCCAATAAAGCTCTTCTCTTTGGGTAAGATGAGTTTCCCTTTTTCTTAGAATTTGTACTATGACATTGCAGTTGTAATTTTTATTTCAGGTCACTACATTAGCTATTCACCATTTATGTTGTTAAAAAAAGGTATTAGCAATGAAGTCATTGGTCTTCAAAATTCTATCATGCAATCTCCAGCGTCATTTCTATCACCAAGTCCCTATTTTCCAACTACGGATACTTTTTCTTTGTTTCCAACTTTGGCATTCCAATCACCAGTAATAATCAATGCATCTTGATTGATCTTTGATCAATTTCAGACTGTAGAAGTTGGTAGAAATATTCAATTTCCTCATCTTTGGCATTAGTGGTTGGTGCATAAATTTGAATAATAGTATTAACTGGTGTTCCTTGTAGGCGTACAGATATTATCCAGTCACTGACAGTATTGTACTTCAGGATGGACTTCAACAAATGGAATGAACAAGAATGAAATTGACTACATCTGTGGAAAGAGAGGATGTAGAAGCTCAATATCATCAGTCAGAATAAGACCAGGAGCCAACTATGGACAGATCATCAATTGCTCACATACAAGTTCAAGTTGAAGCTGAAGAAAGTTACAGCAACTCCATGAGAGCCAAAATATGACTTTCAGTACATCACGTCTGAATTTAGACAGCATCTCAAGAATAGATTTGACACATTGAACACTAATGACCAAATACCAGATGAGTAGTGGAATGACATCAAGGACATTATACGTAAAGAAATCAAGAGGTCATTAAGAAGACAAGGAAGAAAGAAAAGACCAAGATGGACGCCAGAAAAGACTCTAAAACTTGTTCTTGAAAGTAGGGTAACTAAAGAGAACAGAAGAAATAATGAAGTAAAATAGCTGTACAGAAGTTTTCAAAGGGAAGCTCGAGAAGATGGAGTATTATAAGGAAATGTGCAACGACCTAGAGTTAGAAAACCAAAAGGGAAGAACACACTCGGCAGTTCTCTAGATGAAACAACTGAAGAAAAACCTCGAGTTGCAATATGAAGGATTCTATGAGCAAAATATTGAACGATGCAGGTAGTATCAAAGAAGATGGAAGGAATAAACAGAGTTACTGTACCAAAAAAAATGAGTTGATGTTCAACCATTTCAGGAGGTATCATATGATCAAGAACCAATGGTACTGAAGGAAGAGGTCCAAGCTGCACTGAAGGGAATGGCAAAAAACAAGACTCCAGGAATTGATGAAATACCAGTTGAGGTGTTTCAACAAACAGATGCAGCACTGGGCGTTCTCGCTCATCTATGTCAAGAAATTTGGAGACAGCTTCCTGACCTATCAACTGGAAGAGATCCATGTTCGTGATCATTGACCAGTTACGTCTTTCAGCCAAACAATGTAGGCCAGTTGTATTAACATAACCAATAATGTTAAAGGTCATGTTTTGCTTCATCCTGCCTTTGACTGACCTCAATTGCTGCAAACCAATATGAACATTATTTGTAGTTCCACATATGAGAGTATAACTATAGGTGAATTTTACCCCTCCCTTTGCAATTCATGAGCTTCAGATTCCTCAGGTTTTCATGAATTTCCCATTCGAATGATATATATATTGCCTTCAATAAGGCTCTTTGATTTTACTTTAGTAGAGTTGAAGTCTTTTCCCTATAACACGCTTTGTGAGAGATTGAGTGTCAACATGATGATTGGAAGTCCCACAAATATCTATTTTCTTTCAATTTCAATGACAAGGCCTTATCTTTGTCTCATCTCACAGCCCTTACCTCGGTTCCCATGAGAATTAAACGTATTTCTCGAGGCGGTGATCTGCGTGCTATCGTTCTGAACTGCCAACCTCCCCTGACAATCGGTGGGGAAAAAACCGGTAAGCATCTCAGCTGAATTTCCCACCATTGGTCTGCCTTGAGTTGTGGCTATTTACCTTTTGCTCTGTGCAGATGTTTCTTGTATCCCTTTTCTGTCTCAGCATCTCCGGTGACTCCCTGACCCTGTCTGATTTTCTCCATTTGCCCCCCTCCCCGACCATGGAATTCTTCTCATGATGCATACAAACCCACACACAAACACATATCATTCTAGTAGCCTCATGAAGGATATGTATTTATATTAGCATAGACCTTTTGTTTCTCATTCTATGCAGCATTAGGACAACCTACTAATGGAGTGCCTCTGAGCAAAAAAGACGGGAGAGAAGCCTATAGTTGGGCAATTAGACATCTAATGATTACCCTTTTTTGTATGGCACATAAGAAGGTGGTTTGTCTGGGAATTTTTAGCTTCTCACTTAGCTTTTAACATCTCACTGAAATCATAAGTTTCAGAAAACACTAAATATTACCTGCCAGAAATTGAACTTTAATGAATATTTCACAGTGGCAGATTTTATTCCACTGATGATTGCTGATAACATCCATGCCTAATTAAAGTATCCATTAGAAGACTGTAATGTTAATTTCGTATGAAAATATAATGAAGTTCTATCAGGGATTTAGCATTTCAATTTCAAGCTCTTCTTACCTTGTGATACACAAGCATTCCTACATGGAAATCTGAAAATTCTTCCAGAACTCAATCATAGAATCTACTTATGTCATGGAACCGACTATGTCAAACTAAGCATAACTAAAAGAGATTATGAATAATAGACTTCGAACATTGTGAGCTACCTAGAAGGAACACTAACTGTATGTCAAATCATATTGCTCTTAGTTGTCCTTCAGTTGGCTCTGACTCCTGACAACCCCATGTACAACAAAAGGAAACTTTGTCTGATCCTGCACCATTTTCATGATCATTGGTATTTGAGTCTATTGTGGCCACTGTGTAGTTCATTCCAACCTAGGGGCTCATCTTCCAGAACTTTATAGGACAATATTCTGTTGTGATCTTTAGGGTTTTCGTTGGTTAATTTTTATAAGTAAATTATTAGGCCTTTATTCCTAGTCAGTTTTAGTCTGAGCTCTGCTGAAACCTGTCCATCATAGGTGACCTTGCTGGTATTTGAAATACCAGTGACATTATCTTCCAACATCCTACCTTGTGCAAGCCACCACCGTATGACAAAATGAGAGATGGGTGGTGGTGTCAAAGCATATAGAGTGAGAAAGCAGGTGGTTGAAACCCAGAAGATGCTAAAGTTGTTCAGTCAGTTTGCTGCCAACTTTAAAGTATATTTAAAATTTCACTGAACACAGCATGTGGAAAAAGTAGCTTTAAGAAGGATAGTGTTTCATGCCAGGATGATACTAAGACCCTCATAGATTACTTGTTGTTGTTGTTAGACTCCTTCAAGTCAGTTCAGATTCATACTGACTCAATGTACTACAGAAAGAAATACTGCCACGTCCTGTGCCATCCTCACAATAGTTGCTATGTTTGAGTATATTGTTGCAGACACTGTGTAAATCTGTCTCGCGAGGGTCTTCCTCTTTTTCACTGACCCTCTACCTTACCAAGCATTATGTCCTTCTCTAGGGACTGGTCCTTCTCGATAACATGTCCAAAGTATGTGAGACTGAGTCTTGCTTCCAAGGAGCACTCTGGCTATACTTGCAAGATAGACTTATTTGTTTTTCTGGCAGTCCATGGATATTCAATATAGTTCACCAACATCAAAATTCACAGGCAACAATTCTTTGGTCTTCCTTATAGATTACTAACCTCTTCTATTTTTAAATATTTCTTTGTGTTCTTCTTTAAAAGATATCTAATATTAACCTGAGCAAGTTGTTTTAACCCGAGTTTAAGTTATTATGTTTACTTAGGCTTTTCAGACAATACACAATTAGGTGACATTTTCATTTAGAAACACTATAGATTGATATGGGATATAAAATCAAAAGAGGGGTCTGACCTAAAAGTAAAATGGCTGAACTAATGCTAAAACTTAACGTAACCTTCACACAGATTCAAGCTCTGTTACTTAGGAACCAACCCTATTATTAAGGCTTTGTAGTTAGGCTAAGATTGAATCTGTAATCAAATCTTATCAAACTCTTTGTGTTAGACCTCTCCTGGACGTCTTATGCTCTGGGCAAGGTAATTTTAACAAATTGTTCCTGAAAGTATCCAACACACCATTGTTTTTGACTGGTCATGAGACACCCTCCAAGACCACATATCTTGTAATTATGTCTTTCAGCCAGTCAATGTATGGCAGTTGTATTAAAATGACCAATAATGTTAAAAATCATGCTTTGCTTTGTCCTGCCTTTGATTGAACTCAATCACCATAAACAAATCGGAACTTCGAAGCCCCGTTCTTTGTCTCAACTCTAAAAAAAAATCTTTGTAATTGCTGTGCCTAGGACTTTGTGGCCCCATTTTCATTGGCATGGGCCACAGAGGTCCCTGGTTTGAACTGTCTTCAACCTTTAATAAACCTCTTTATTTTAATTCAGTTTTCACTATGAGTTTTTTATGCATCAACACTTTTGTTTCAGCAACAGATTCAAAAGTGACTTATCTCCTGTGACCCTGATGAACTAAAAACACCCTTAATTCTAAACTTTCAGTCTTAATAAATAGGCATCTGCTTGACTGAAAAAAATCACTCCTGTTGCCAAGCTAATATGTTTGGCTAGCTCAAACCGTAAAAACTAAACAAACTACTGAGACAAGAAAATTAATGGCTTTAAAACCACAGCAGCTACAAACCCAGCCCAGAAAGAAATTCTTATTTCAAAAAAGAAGCCTTAGAAATAACAATGAGTTCAGGCAATTTCAGGACTTCTGATCCTTTGCCAGCTACTTAAGACTGCAAATTTTTCTGTCCTGTTAAGAAAGGGAGAAAACCCCATTTTGAAATGCCTTTTAAAATTAAATACCCTGAGGAAAAAGATCCTACAGTCACTTTTACTCCCCGGTCAAAATCAAAGCTCCCTGCAATTGTCAAAAAAGCCCCAATCATCTTTTTAGGACACCACTTTCATTCATGACGGTGATAATCCCACTCACAATCATAATGAAAAGGAGGGAATAGTTAACAATGCTAGAACAGTTATGACACCTGTAAATACAGCACCTATATAAAATCTTATGAACCTGGCTTATCAGATTTCTTTCAGTTGATTAATATATTAGTAGGACCTAGAAAACCCCAACAACGGGTTGAAAAAGCACATTACAATAATAAAAACCTGAGAGGTCATTAGCAGTAGCTAAGATCCTTTAAGACATCATGCCTAAGTTTTTCCAAAAAAAAAAAAAAAAAGAGATTGACTGGGCAAAAGTTCAAAGCTGCAAAAAAAGGGAAAAAATAAAACTGCTTCGTCTTCATGTAATTCAGAATTTACATTTACCCTTGCATTTAGGAAGAGATAAATAATTCTCTTATTAGAAAATTGGTAAAGTAAGAAATGATTTGAACATACTAACTATGTAATTTCTCATTGTTCTGACTGCCAAGAAGAGAGGTAAGTAAAACTTAAACAGGTTAAAAAAATTTTTTTTTTAACAAATTAATGAAAAGGGGAATAAAGCTGTCTCACGATTGTTTGTCTTATAAACGACTGTAATAGAAACTATCCTGATTTATTGATGAGCAATTATAACCTTACTGAAATAACTCCAGATAGCCTTAGGAAACATCAGCAAATGACTCAAATTAATAAGCAGGGGGGCTAAAAAAAAGTGGACAGGTATCAAGACCCTAATACTAAACTATGGATAGGGCCAAATGGCAAATTAATTTTACCCAAACATTGGCATGTTCTCGTAAGTTCATGTCTACAAGAAGGCACTCATTTAGGAAAAAAGATGATAGAAATTTTGAAGAAATATTTGTGGAGACACTTTTATGAAGCTGCTGAACAAGAAGTTGCTCAATATCCTCTCTTCTTCCAATTCAGTTCAAACGAACCCTTTAAATTTCCACCTGAGAGATTTCCTCTGCCAATACATGATGACAGATAGATTTTATTTAAATTCCACTCTCAAATAACTATAAGTTTATATTAGTGATAATTTGTAGGTTTTCTCACTGGGTAAAGGCTTTCCCCCGTCGTCAAGCTACTGCTGCCTTGTGGCTAAAAACTTTTTTAAAACATTATCCTCACCTAGGAAGCCCCAAAAGTGCTTTGTAATGACCAAGGCAGTCATTTTACTAGACAAATATTATTAAAGAAATATGGAAGATTTTTCCAATTTTTCAAAGACTTCACTGTCTTTACCATCCTCAGTTGTCTGAATTGGTGGAAACGACAAATGGAATCATCAAGTCCCAGCTTGCTAAACTTTCCCCTTCCTTGAATTTACCCTGAGTGCAAGTCCTTCCTCTTGTGTTAATAAGTACTCTGCCCTACTGTTGGGCTCTGGCTGACTCTAATTTAATTGAGACCAGCGTATTAAAGTATTGTCAGGCCTTAGTCAGATATTCTAAAGAGCATGCCTCCTTAATAAGGAGTCCCTACGACTCTCAGAAGTCAAATAATTATGTCTATTGGAAAAGGCATTAATTTAAAAAATTCTCACTGATCTTTGTGCTGCTAAATTACAAGGAGTTAAAACTTGGATCCATTTCTCCCAACTGAAGAAGGCTGCCACTCCTGTTTGGAAAGTTCAACCCATTGAAGTACTCAAATTATAATTTAAACAATCCTGGGACAAGAAGCAGATGACATCTGAGTAGGCAGCTTCCTTTCCCAAGATCCTGGAGCAGGCCTGTAACTTGGATTTGGAGTACTGTCTATGCAACCTTCAGAAAATTTTGGACTTAGTCTAGTGATAATAAGAGTAATCATGGTTGTTGGATTTCTGTGGTATTATTCCTTTGTGTATTTGCTTTAATTATATTTCCTATAATTATTGACTTAAACCTTTATTGTTTCCTTTTTCTATTGCTTGGCAAGAAAATGCTTTCACCAAATTAACTCAGTCAGTAGTCAGGGCTAGCAATTTAACTGAATGCTGCATATGTCACTTTTCCCCTCATTATGCAGAAAATCATACTGATCCTCTCGCTATACTAGAATTAGATTATAAGTTCACACCTGATTTTACTATTGATTTTGAAAAAAACCTTTTAAATAGGCTATTCATGTTAAATTATGGCTACCTCCAGAATTATTTACTTATCCATTGGCTCCTTGTTTCAGTCTTACCCATGCGTGGATAGAAAGTTCTATTCTGTGCACACAATGTAATCTTTTTATTAATGGTGATCAATATTATTCCACATTCACAGATAACTGTTTTAGAAATAATCCAAATCTCTTGGCTTGGGCCCTCCTCTGGGATCCCCTAGGATTTGGAGAATTATCCATTTGTCATGATTAAATACCTGCAAACTAATTTGAAAGGGTCGATCAGTCCATCTCATTTTCTAATATTCAAACTTGGGCAGGTATGTTGTGCACCCCATCTGGATATATCATTTTATGTGGAGGATCAGTTTATTTAAGGAAAAAGTCCAATGACTCACCCTTTACTTGGGCTTTAACATGTTTAAATGGTTGGAATATGCTTCTCTAGGGACTCTAGAATTTCCCATAAGTATCCATTCATACAATGACAGCTTACTACGTAACAGTGACTTGAAATTAATATCCATAAAAAAGACAACTTGTCCTGTCAGACAATCTCATAGCTGATTACCCAGGATGGGGATGGTCATTCTTACACATTATTGTGCCATGGTTTGGGATTGGGCAATTAGAACTGTCCATTCACAATCTATCTGCCACTATGGCTCAAATTGTTGATGATACAGCCAATGGAATGGCCACAGAACAACTACCTCCAGAATCCTTGGCAAAAATAGTATTGGATGATAGGATAGTCCTGGATTTCCTTTTAGCCCAGGAAGGAGGGGTTTGTGCCATTGCTAACACCTCCTGTTGCTCTTGAAATAACACCACTGGAGAAGTTGAATGGGATATTGCTAAGATTCATCAAAAAGCTGTTTGGTTGCATTTTATACACCCTATGACTTTAACACCCTTTCCTGATATCTTCAGTTGGCTACCTAAAAGTGCAATTCATGGTTATGGTCTCTGTTGTAAACAGAGTTAATTATATTAATAAGAATAATCCTTATTATTGGAATTATAAAATGTATTATGAGATGTGTATCTACCATAGAAAATGATAACCCCACTTCATCTCATGCTCAGAGAATTATCTATATCAACACAGTATTCAGGAACCAAAATTAGAGAAGTGTATAATTTAGGATATCCATTTGAAAGTAGGTCAGATTGTTTCTCCAATGTGGCCATACCATATCCATCCCCCATACCAACATCACTGAAGATGACTGTTCAGCCATTGCATGGTCAGCCAGAACAGTCTGACAACCAAGGTACCAGTGGTCCTCAATTACAGTGAAAAATGGGCTTAACATGAGAAAACTACAAAGACTAAACCACCACCTGGGAACAGCATATTGACAAACCCATGCAGAAGAGGGTTTGCACGTAAGTGTGATCAAAGGATGTTCTTCAAAATCCTGGATCAAGAGGAGGGAGTGATATGGGATATAAAATCTAAAGAGGCAACTGACCTAACAGTAAAATGGCTGAACTAATGCTAACGCTTAATGAAACCTTTTGCACAGATTCAAAACCAGTTGCTTAGTAACTAATCGTATTATTAAGGCTTTGGAGTTAGGTTAAGCCTTTGAATCTGCAACAAAATCTTATCAAGCTCTTAGTGTAAGATCTCCCCACGAGGTCTTATGCTCTGGGTGAGGAAATTTAACAACCTGTTCCCAAAAGTATCTATCATGTCATTGTTTTTGATGAAAGTATGCATTCTGCCATTGCTTGTGACTGGTCATGAGACTCCCTCTGTGACCACATATCTTGTAATTTTATCTTTTAACCAATCAATGTATGCCAGTTGCATTAACATAACCAATAATTTTAAAAATCATGCTTTGCTTTCTCCCCCTTTTACGGACTTCAACCACTATAAACCAATCAAAATATTGTAGACTTCATTCTTTGTTCCAGCCCTTTAAAAATATCTTTGTAATTGCTGTGCCTTGGACTTCACTGATCTGTTTGCATGGGCTATGGTGATCTCCAGTTAGAACTGTCTTGAACCTTTAATAAACGTCTTTATTTTAATTCAATTTAGACTATGAATTTTTCACACGTATATAAATTGTAACAGGATTTTGATTCTTGAAGACATGTAGCCATCATACTCACTAAGTATGTGTATATTTCTTTGTTTTTATAATGGCCTTCATAGGTTTAGTATAGAGACCACTGGAAAATACCAGTTCTACTTTTCTCCACTCTAAATTTTCAGCTTTGGAAGTCACTTAACTTCCACGGAAAATTATTGATTTTTCTGTTTTTGTTTCTTTGTTAATTTAATTCAAACCCTTGAAATAAATTGTAAATGGCAAAATAAACGTGATACAGTTCATGATAGATTCTGAACATCAACACCATGATTAAAAGTCCCACAAATATCTGTTTTCTTTCAATTCCAATCACAAAGCGTTATCTCTATCTCATCTCACAGACCCAAACTCTGCTAACATACATTTAGAAGAGATTAACCGAGAAGGGGAGCAGCGTACTGTCTTTGGGAGCTGCCAGCCTCCTCTGGAAGACAACGGGAAATTTGCTGGTAAGCATCTCTGCTGAATTTCCCAACATTGTTCTGCCTTGGTCTGTGACAATTTATCTCTTGTGCTGTACAGGCTTTTAGTGTATCCCCTTTCTGTCTCAGCATTCCCATTGACACCCTGACTCTCTCTGATTTATTCCCTTTGCCCCCCACTGACCATGGAATTCTCCTAATGGTGCATGCAAAGCCCCACACAGACTCATCTCATTCCAGTCCCCTCAGAAAGGGTATGTATTTAAATTAGTGTAGACATTTTGTTTTTCAGTCTATAGAGCATTAAGATGATTTTCCAATGGAGTGCCTCCGAGCATAATTGTATAGCAATTATGAACTACAAAAGACACCTGTTGTGTTGTTGTTAGGTGACTCCGAGTCGCTTCTGACTTATAGAGACCCCATGCACAACAGAACGAAACACTGCCCAGTCCTGCACCATACTCATAATCGTTGTTATGCTGGAACCGATTGTCGCAGCCGCTGTGTCAATCCATGTCATTGAGGGTCTTCCTCTTTTCCGCAGACTTTCTACTTTACCAAGCATGATGTCCTTCTCCAGGGTATTGTAATGACCATGAATTTTTGTATGGCACATGAGGAGAAGGTTTGTCTGGAGATTTTTAGTTTCTCACTTAGCATTTACGTTCTCACTGAAATCATAAGGTTCAGAAAACATTTCATACTGACTGAAAGAAATTGAACTTAATGAATATTTCACAGGGACAGATTTTATTTTGCCAAATATGGCTGATAACATCCATGCCTAATTAAAGTATCCATTAGAAGTCAGTAATATTAATTTAGTATGAAAAATATAATGGAGTTCTATCAGGGAGTTTGCAATTAAATGATCACTTTAGGTTTTTAATAGATGTCTCTATTGCATATAATTATTATGAAAAATATTGCATATAATAGTCTAAATAACTTGAAAGATTGTGTTAAGCACATGTAAGAGTCTCTCTTTTTTCTTCTTTCATACTTGGAACTTATACTTCACAGAAATGCAACATCTGGAGACTTCATAGTTTAACATCGTTGTTAATTGGTTTGACCATATTTAGCGTAAGCTATACCACACAGTTTCAAATTAAAGAAAACAAACAAAAAATCTGTACCAATAAAGCTCCACTCTAGGTAAGCTGAGTTTCTCTTTCTTAGAATTTGTACCATGGCATTGTAGTTCTAATTTTTTATTTCAGGTCACTACATTAACTATCAGAGAGTTCATTGTGAATAGTTCTACATTTTTGCAGGTACTTTTTCTATAATAACTCTTCTAGTTGGTCTGATTTAATTTCAACATCCTCCTTTTCTATTTTGCATGCTATGCATAGATTAATTCTTCTACCAGGAGCTCATCCTGGAAGCCAATGTTCAGAGCCTCTTAGAAAGAATAACAACTACTGAATGAGTTACCTCCTAAGTTGTTGTTGTTGTAAGGTGCATGTCTTAGTAATTTAGTGATGCTATAACAGAAATACCACAAGTGGATGGCCTTAACAAAGCTAAATTTATTCTCCCACAGTCTAGTAGGCTACAAGTCCAAATTCAGGGCATCAGCTCCAGGGGAAGTCTTTCTCTTTCTGTTGGCTCTGGAGGAAGGTCTTTGTCATCAATCTTCCCCTGGTCGAAACGCTTCTCAGGTGTAGGGACGCCAGATCCAAAGGACATGCTGTGATCCTGGTGCTGCTTTCTTGGTGGCATGAAGTTCCCAACTCTCTGCTCGCTTTCCTTTCCTTTTGTCTCTTGTAACATAAAAGGTGATGCAAGCCACCTTTTATCTTACAAGAGATAAAACTCTCTTTACACTGGATAAGGGATGTGACCTGAGTAAGTATGTTACATCCCACCCCAATCCTGTTTAACATAATCTAATATTGCTTCATTAACCACAAGCAGAGATTAAAATTTACAGCACATGGTAAAAATTACATCAATCACAAAATGGAGGACAACCACACAATACTGGGAATTCTGGCCTCACCAAGTTGACACATATTTTGGGGGGACAGAATTCAATCCATAACAGTGCCATTGAGTCGGTTTCAACTCATAGTGAGCCTATGTACAACAGAACAAAACAATGCCTGGTCCTGTGCCATCCTCACAATCGTTCTTGTGCTTGAGCCCATTGTTGCAGCTACGGTGTCAATCCATCCCACTGAGGGTCTTTCTTTTTCGCTGACCCTCTACTTTACCAACATGATGTCCTTCTTCAGGGACTGGTCCCTCCTGATAACATGTCCAAAGTATGTGAGACAAACTCTTACCATCCTCACTTCTAAGGAGCATTCTAGTTATAATTCTTCCAAGACAGATTTGTTCATTCTTCTGGCGGCCCATGGTATATTCAACATTCTTTGCCAACACCGTATTTCACAATTATTCTTCAGTCTTTCTTATTCATTGTCCAGCTTTCACATGCATACGAGGCGATTGAAAACCTCATGGCTTGGGTCAGGGGCA